GCTTTTCACGGGGCATGAATTGGCAGACTATCTCATCAACTGGTATGATGCTACTAGTATTTATACTAGTAGATGCTGATGCATAGCCTGACAATTGACATCTCGTAGGACATCGCAATGTTAAAAATACCAGTCGCTAACATTGAAAAAGGATAGAACGTGAACTAGTTCGGCTGAAACGCAAACCGGTAGAATTCTAGTTCACAACTAGTAGCTTTCCCTGCAGGGTACGGCTTCGTCTATATCGTCGCATGGATAAAAGATTGTCGCAAGCGCCTTTTTGGCGATTTTTAGAAAGAATGAATGAATGTCAAAGCGCTAGCAAAAATGCTAGACGAGATTTTGCAAGAAAAGCGTAAACAAGTTGCATAAGTGTAACGTCATACAATCAGCGATTCATTCAAATTCACTGAGAGCGGAATAGCGATACGAGATGGGCGCCACCCCTGTTCGGATATCTCCTTTAGTTTCCGGTTTATTGTCGAAAATTTCATCGGTAATTTTTGTAGTACAATTGAGTAAATAATATACATACTTACATATGGGGAGAAATTCTGTTGTTTTCAACTCGCGCTGGTGGTATCAAAATGTACGTAAAAATCCAAACACACCATTTCGAAGTAATTTTTCCTCAGCTTTCCAACAGCGTTTTCAGATTTTCCGAAATTTCGGACTTTACTATAAAAAAAAACGTATTATATCTCGAAAAATCTTTTTAATCGGAAGCTGGGTTTTTTTTACATAAAAAAAGTTATTTTCCTCAGAGTGCCCAAGCATTTTCCCATGAGTAAGCGAAATAGTGAAAGTACAGCACGCGACGCGCACTTTGCCCGATTTTCGCACAGCAGTCGCTAGGCTCGGTCGTTCCGTTGACCCGTTGACCCTTTATTTATTAATTCTAATAATTATGTTTCTTTTTAACCGACTTCCAAAAAGGAGGTTATTATTTCCTCTTTCTTTATATCTCCGCGGCTACTACAATGGATTCAACTTTAACATTGAAATGGGTAAATCCTTTTAACAGAGATAATCTCCCTACACGTAAAGATTTATTTGACTTTCCTTTACAAATGTAAAGTATATTTACCTAATTCTGAAGCAAAGATAGCCAGTGTAAATTTTTGCGATGAAAAAAGGGACCGAAAATAACAGTAATTTAAGGAGTGCGTAATATAGCTTCAGAAGCCATTATAATTTGTTTTACAATGATTTTGACAAATTTTAGGGTTTAAAAAGACATAAATAGTAGGTTTTTTGAAAAGAAAAATATTATACTTCTAAAGTTTAAGGAATGAATTTTCCAAATAAAGGAAGATAAGAAATGTATCAGAAATTAGTTTGAATATTGTTAAAAATCAAGTTTCGCAGAAATTCAATAGGAAATTTTACCTTAAAAGTATTCCTTTGTCTCCTAGGACCTTAGGTCGGTGCACAGATCAAGTTGGTGTATTTATTGAAACTGCAATTAAAAAGGAAATTAATACAGGCAATTTTTTCAATATGATTGGATGAAAGCACAGATATAAATGTCCGCGCCAATTGGTCATGCGTATACGAAGCCTAGATTCCAACTACGATGTTTTTCGGTACAAACGTTTTAGGGAAACATGACCGGAAGAAGGAGCGAAGGTTCTGTGGGAGTGGTACAGCTACTATAACTTTTTCTTCCACAAACACATTTTTTCTGATTTAAAATTTTTTTGCTCCAAGCAAAGAAATAAATTGAATGCAAGCCATTTAAAAAGTATAATTTTAACAAGAAACTGCACCAAAAGTATATACAGTGAAATTCCTCCTAACCGGGCACTTACCGTCGCAGTGTTTAATTAATGAATATTTAATAATGAGTATTACATAAACAAACATTCATATTATTATTACATATGTATGTCACTAGACACAAATAAAGGCGAGAGCTCAAAAGTTGACCGCGAAAAAAGACGCATAAAAAACTATAACGAAGAAAGACTCTTAACATAGTTGTCGACGAAGAAAAACGCGTAAACTTATTTTCGCGGTAAACTATGCTTGCGGGTGTAACAATATGTAAATTCCCCAAAGAGGTTTTGGAGAATGATGGTGAAGTGACAGTCCTCGGTCAGGTATAAATCTATATTTACACATATTTCTTCGCCGTTAACTAGGTTACGCGTCTTTCTTCCCCGAAGATTTTCTTAAGCGTCTTTTTCGTAAACTTTTTTTACGCGTCTTTTCGCCGCCAAAACGATATGTTATATACATAAATATATGAGATTAAGTACATTTTGAAAAGTCTCTGCATTTCAATACCACTTTGATTGAACAAATTTTGTAATGGTTGATTGCTTAAACATTTATACTTTTGATGTGTTGAAAAGGTAGTCATTTTTTGCAAATTGTTTCAAACGCGCAACACGTTTTATCGCCTCATCGTACGATATCACAGCGCACGGCAGTGCGCGCGAGTGACGAAAGCAGCAACAGTAGCATGCTGAAATGACTCGCTTATATATACACGAGATTTGGAAGTTTTTATCCAGACGTTGGAAAGGTCTTGCAGAGTGTGTCCGGAAAATATATTCAAGCTTCGTAAACGATTAACCGGATTCTTAAAAATTAGGCTAAAGTGTTGCGAAACAAAAAACGTTTTTGTGCTTTTGCCGGTTTTAGGGGGCATATGGATGGGTACACCCAACATATTTAGTGTTATTCTATAGGCCGATACCTTTCAAACGATACCTTATATATTAAGTTCCGGCCACTAGTTGGAAAGATATAGAGGTAAATGTGTTTTGGTTCGTGTCTCCACTACGAGATGCTTTGGTATGTATGTGGCCCATCATTTAATTTTTTTCAAACTTTCAGGAATTAAAGTACATAAAAAACTAAGAAGGTTTTGTTCCACGATGTTTTGATTCGTACGCCTGTGTGGACGTGGCTGCTGCCTGAAATTCGAAAAAAGGCAATTTTTTTAACTACCACTGAGGCCGCACTACTCAGTCCATGTCATTGATGTGGATATCAGTAGAAGGGTCTTCAAACAAGCTATCTAACGCTATCTTTTGTGTTTATAAAATATAAATACGCCATAACGTTATCGCCTGAAAACTAAAAATCGGGCTGCTGAAAATAGAGATTTCGGGCATTTTCCCAAAAACTGGTCAGTCGATTTTATTCTAGGTTTCCACAAGTCTAGCCCAAAACCTTAGCTTTCATCCGGTATATAGCTTATATCTGGGAAAACTCTTGTTGTGGAGATATTGCTATTCAAATTGAAAAAATGTTGCTCCAAAAAGGGTCAAATGGTTAAAAATTAACATATCCGTCTAATTTGGTTACTTTGTGATATAAAAATAATATACCCAGTTCCCCAAAAAAAATCGCCCATTCCCCGATTGCCACTTAAACCGAAATTCCCTGCAAATCGGGGAATTTCCCGCGAGTTGACAATTTGAAGGATGCAGCTGTGCTAATCACTTCGTACATGTCTTTGAAACCACAATTTGTGTGTATTTTAGAGTTTTTTTCAGTCACATGCCTAAATTGTAACATTCTTCCCCATTTTAATTGCAGGTATGTATACAATATTTAACTATGCTACATGGGTTTATCACCCGCACTTAACCTACCTGGTATTTACCTATAGTTGTACATAAATATGTATGTATGAATGCATTTAGTTCACCCAATGTTCCGCTACTACTTACATACATATGTATAAATTGCCACTGAGCAAAAACACTTGAGAAAAACTCTTTAGTTTAATAGCACGAGTGCAACACCGTACACGTGATAGAAGTAAAACTTCTTAAACAAAAGCACATGTGTGCGCCCCACACCCAGTAGAAATCTTAACAAAAATTGAACTACAAGGCAATCAGACGAATACAGTTGTTAATTGTATCCAAAGTTGGTACCAAGTTGATAAGTTTTTATCATTTCTCATATTTTTTTTATTTTTAATTTTTTCGAATACATATCATCCTTGATATCATCATATCTTTGATTATCCTTTTTCGCTTTATTCCGTATTCGAAAAACTATGTGTTTCAATGGACACATCGATTTGAATCATATATGTAATACTCCTATATTGGCAGTAAGAGCTAGTACCGTCCGAAAACACTACAGTACAGATATATCAATAAACACGTACGAAAGAAAAGGAACACATACGTTTGTAAATAAACATGTACACGACACATTTACAAAATCGGCCCTCAAGTACACAATACATTGACAAAAACAGTACTAGACTGTCTCGCTTTGATTTCGAAATGCTTACGCATTGAGATGTTAGCTTACTACCAATATAGAAGTATTACATATATGATTTGAATACATAATTTAGATTTAGAGAATATTTTTAGCAATTTATTTGAGAAAAATAAAAAATTTAGTTTATTGTTTGTATTTTCGTCGATTTTAAATTTGCTACCCCAAAATAATTGATATCAAATAAAACACCTCTTTGAAGTAAAATTTTCGAGTGACGAAAGCTGAACTAGAAACACAAAATTTATTATATCAATTTCGTGACGAAAATTATACGCATTTTTTAACTGCCTTTCAAACGTATGGAAAATCTTTTTTTATTTATTCGGAACGTTGCGAATTTCCGTTTACTGCTAGAAACACAAGTCACACTTCATTTCACAAGGCTTTTATTATTCACAAGAACGAAAACACCACATAGTAAACTTATAAAAAAAGGTTAAAATAAAAATTAATCTAAAGCTTAAGGGGCATATTTTCACAGCCAAATATATATATTTAAGGAAATAAAAGACATCATATTAAAAAAATGTAATTGTAAAAAATACAGGTCAACCTTCCTTCAAAGAAAAAGTTGCATAAACGTTGAGGTGTGGTAATTTTTACACCAGCATCAGCAAAAACATAACTGATCAATAACGACAACGAAATGAGAAGATACTAAGAAAATCAAGTTGCTGGAGCGCAACGTAGGAGAGTAATTCAAAAAAATTTAAAGGGAGGGTAAATTTTACCACCACCACAGTTAAAGGTTAACGTAGAAAAAGATTACAGGTAAAAACCCTAGGTTCTTTAATAAAAGCAGAAGATTATGTCATGATATACAAATACATACAGCCTTTAAACCAAAATGTGACTTACGATCTCACAGAAAGTGAAGTGCTTAACTTATTTTTATTCTGCTTTTAATACATATACATATGTATATTTTTACAAGATTTTTCTTTAAAAGACGTTGAACAAATGTACATATATTTGTTTTAAACATTCGTTGTTTTTGTGAAAGCTTTAAAATTTTTTGTTGGTACATTTTTATTTGATTTGGTAAATTTTTTGGTGATTTGGTGAATTTTCGAAAAATTCATTTATCATCCCTGAACGAAATTACTCCGCGCTCACCAATATACTCGCAAAGCATGATTCAATAATACAAGGTTAGATAATTATTGACAGCCGCGGTTTGACACTCCCTTACAAAAAGTTGCATTTACGAAGGATGAGGAAAGGGGAGGAATGAAATCCATTGCTGCGAAAATGGTAGTAGAAAAGTACCAAAAGTAGGCAAATAGTAGTGAAATTCCTTTTGTAAATTCTAAATTAATTTTAAACGAAATATTGAAAGAAATGACAATATATCTACGTGAATTACGCAATTTTTGTGTTATTTAGCCGTATAAAAACTGCAAAAAGACTCAAAATTAAAATAAAACTACTATGAGATTTATGTAAACATCCAATTTAAAAGCAGTTTATGTTTTCATCAGTTAAATGCGCTTCATATACATATACAACTAAACCTATTGCACAAAAGCTTATACTTCTATTTCACAGCAAAGCAACACTTTTTCCAAGTAAATTTGCAAAGAAGCAACACTTTCATTCAAACAGCTTCTCTTTGATCACAGGAAACTCTTTTGATTACTCATTTGTAACGTTTTAAGGGCAGAAGTACATATGTATAAGTGCACTATCGATACATACCCTGTAGGATCTCGGAATAGACTTAGAGCACACCACAAAATAGACTGCAAGTGATTGTAAGTAGTCCAAAGTTTGGTCCAAAAACATGTAAAATTCTATTTACATTTAACATTGAATGTCCTAGGCTCGGACCAATTGTCCGCTTCTGCATTATACTGTAACCAATTTAGGGGGAAAAATTAATAAATAAAACTTGCGCCAGCTGCGATTCGAACCGGGGTTCTCAGATTTTCTAAGCGGATACTCTCTCTGCATTAGGGTGGCCAGATGCGCTGATTTAATTAGTACATGTGCTGATTTTTTTCTATTGTACTGATTTTTAAGAGCCCAAAATCAGTACGCAAAATCTACTGATTTTATGAGTTTGTACTGATTTTTATATTTAACTAGCAGACCCGGCGAACTTCGTCCCGCCCAAAATTAATTTTTTTATTGAAACATTTGGTCCAACGTTCACGTTCAAAGCGTTATACCGGGAAGAAGTCCTTGCGGCGCGATAGTGAA